CAAAGGGATATAAGGGGAGAAATTCTTTAACGTACAAAGGAAGAAATACACTAAAGTTGTAGAAGTGTCTAGGAATATTGATATATCAAATATAGTAAATCATCCTACTCTTGTTGATTGGTCTATTATACTAAAATTATATAGGTCTAAAGAAATACCCCTGAGATAACCCAGTTAAGACCCAGTTATAACCTATTTAACCCAGTAAGAACCCAGTAAGAACCTATTTAACCCGGTAAGAACCCAGTAAACCCAGTAAAACCCCAGTCAAACCCTAATTCCCACCCCAGTTCTATTAATCCTTCTCAAAATATTTCTTCCTACCCTCCCTTCAAGTCGTATATACCAAGTAGATTAAGAGGTAGTAAGTAGTTTTGAATATAAAGGTTTACTAGATATCTATCTATAGTTATATAAGCTCTAAAATTAAACAGAAGAAGAGAAATAAATAAATTCAAAAATTATTTTACTCTATAGATAAAAATATATATTATATTGATATATATTGAATATATATATCTACAACTTAGGGTATACTTTGTATTTTGAATGGAATGCTATCGTACGCTTAAGAAAACCAGCAGCCAATATATACCACCTTTCTATATAAAATAAAGTATTTAAAGAAGTAATTAATCTTGAACCAGATATATTGCTTTGAAGAACGAGGTAATTTCTTAAAATTTCCTTTCCCTTGTTGGTAGAGAGTGTAGCATTTCGATGTAGAAACCATAACAGGGGAAAATGACAGTATATTATTTAAATATTTATGCTATAATTTATACAGAAACTGGGTCGAACTGGGGCTATACTGGGTTTTCTGGGGCCCCAGTCACTGGGTCTGGGTTGGGCCTGGGTTATAAGGTTTCGACCCAGACCCAGACTGGGTTGGGTTCTGGGTCGAGACCTTCGACCCAAACTGGGTCGTGCGGAAGTCTAACCGTAATCCCTGCCGTAGTCTATCATTTGGCTTAGTAGAGTCACTCCTTTTTCTAGAGATAAAGAACAGATCAGAAATATATCGTTGTATGGCTATTAGTGCAAGATATATGGGCAGAATGATAGAAATAGAGAGAAAGTGAAGAAGGGAAGCGAAACGGGGTCTTATTAAAGGGAGGTTATGTGAGGATGTATTGGGGCGCTAAATCCGAAGAGGTAGATCTAATCAGATGTAGTAACTTATAGCTCCGCTGTTTAAAATATAGTATCACCTTTTATTAATCCTAGGGTTGGTCACGGTTATAAGGAAGTGGAATAATTATAGATTTGACAATCGGTAAGCTAATCTGAATAAAATATAACTAGGACTTAAGACGAGAAACGAATGAAAGCGAGAGGCCAGCTCACTGAAAAAAGGAAATAAATACACAAAACTACATTCTGGGGCTTTCTATCCCTTACTAGGTTTGTCGACTTTAAAATAAGCGGATCATTATCTACTCGGGGCTTTCCCTCGTCGAGTGACGACGGGAGCGAGCTAAAGCGCGTTTATCAAACTTCCCTAGTCGATTGACGACGGGAGCGAGCCGAACCTTCTCTGGCCGAGTGACGACGGGAGTGAGCCGAATCACGTTTATTAGAACCTTCCCTAGTCGATTGACAACGGGAGCGAACTAAACCTTCTCTGGCCGAGTAACGACGGGAGTGAGCCGAATCACGTTTATTAGAACCTTCCCTAGTCGATTGACGACAGGAGCGAACTGAACCTTCTCTGGCCGAGTGACAACAGGAGTGCGGTTCACGTGTATAGTCGCCTTTATCAGAACTTTCGCCGGGACTAATATCCCGAAATCGAATATAGCTGCGAGTAACTCCGGTATTGTATTGACGTGGCTTCTCGGAAGCCCTAGGTTCCTCCTCACTTACCGAATTATCTTCGTAATCTTCCAACCCTTGATTCTCTCGATAGGCTTTCTCTATTTCTATCGCTTTCTGATAAATCGTTTTGTCACTATCCAGACTTAATCCTATAGTGATTCGCCTAATAAATGATCTTCCTTCGATAGTACGAGTCCTATCTCTCTATTTCACAAGAGCTCTGGTTTATAGATATAGAACGCCTTTGATTGGTCGGAGCAGTGATAATAGGTTGATCGCGTCTTTATCGTTATCCTCTATCTTCTATCCAATACCGAGAATACCAGCAATATCTCTCCTATTATACTTCCAGTACTCGTCAAGAACTCTATCGTTATCTTCTTCTACCTCCTTAGCAGTACCACGGGTTTTAGAGATCAATACCCGTTCTACTTTTCTCGGGTTATAACTCTTATAAGAGCCTGCCCGGATTCGAAAGATAGGTGCAGCCACGCTCCTATATATAACGAAGGTCTGTGATCCTGAGCCTTTAGGCCACCAGTAGAGAACCGTCCCGGAAGACATTTACCGCTGTTTATCCCGCGTCCTAGATTCAAGAGCGTTAAGTTCTTCGACAGCAATATAATCTGTATCCGTCTCTATACTTAGTAATAGCTCTTCCACCTCCTTCGCTCTCTCTTCTTCTGAGACTAGAGGCGAGTAGTCTTTAACCGGGTTTGGATTAGGGAGGCTGATTTTTTCTTCCGCCTAAGATTCATCGAGGTTCCAATCAGATCGAATCCAATACCTTATATTTAAAGCTGCAATAATCTTATAAGTCGCATTAAACCGGTCCCACGCCTCTTCGTAGTTTGTACCGTTAGTAAATTTCTCGAATATCTTTAAGTAGCCTTGAAGTATTCCTTTATAATTAGTGTATAGAATAGTGCCTAAATTGATATTATTTAAGTTAAGCTTAGTGTTCTCTTTACGAATTCGAGCGTTAAGACGATTGAAGAATTTCCTTAGAGCTTTATGGTTTTTATCACTGATAGACTCTTGAATAATATTAGGTGAAGCTACCACTGCTTCTTGGGTAATACAGATTGTATAACGATTGGTTGGAAGCCTATCCTGGAGTAGAGGTTCTTCGGATTCCGAGTCGGTATCTTCGGAACTATCTATATCTATTACGCCTTCTGCGAATTCCTCCCCTGCTGTAATTTCCTATGGTTTCTGGGTTAGACTGCGAGGTTTTTGCGCTTTATATACCGGAGTTGGGCTATAAGAACGTTGCGAGGATACCAGTGGCCTTATTGGACTGTAAAACCTTCGCTGGGAATTGGATATTCGTTTTGGGCTACCAGAGCGCCGCAATTCTGTCTCAGGCCCTTCTAGTTATAAGGAAGCTTCACTTTCATTCTCAGAGAATAGTGTTTAAAGATAAGCGGCTTCTCGGCTTTTCCTTCGGTTCTTCCTACCGTTTTTCCCCATTGTAGAGCAATAGTCACACTTTCGCAATATACCTTCAAAGTAAATATAGTGAATCTCAATTTACTCCAATCTCACTGACCAAAATTGGCTTATATATAATGATAGATCCGGTACTGAAACGGATCGCGATTTCAAAATAGCTCGTGCAGACTCTATACGCGAACTCAAAAGGATCGTTTTATTTCGTGTTATAGTAACCCACTCAGACATAGGTCCAGGTGAAGATATTGGGACATTGCGCTGACTCTCCAGAGACCAGCTCAACACTCTGGACTTACACTAGCGCCCAATACTGTATCATCTTATATATCAGGGACATGCCCTAATCACATGATCCCTAAACCAGACACAATTACCCTGTATCTCCAATCATGTCCTGACGTTGAACAGTGAAATTTTATAGTTTGTCTCGGTGACTACTATTTACAGGGAGGATCGAAATTAGATTCACCACTTGCACACAGAGATTCTTTCTCAAACCCTCCTCCGAAACACGCTATGCCTATTACAGTTATTCTTCCCCTGAACCCCTGTCTTGCAGTAAATCCAGTACGGCTGTAAATAAAAGTATAAAAATAGCTTTTGTATTAGACTCGTAAGGTCTCTAGGGATTCTAGAACGTCAATCCCTGCAAACAAGCCAAACAGATGTGTTTGCTCTTCTGTTCTGGAGACGTGGCAGCAATTTGAATCCCACTTCGTCAACCATTTACTATCTAGAGTGACCACTACGAATGAGCCAGTTATATAGAGGCAGTACTAGTGTGTAATATTTCCTTGCATCATGTAGCAGGCTTGGCTTTCTGATAGGGGCTAGCATCTACTGAACTGACTGGTAGTGATCATGCTGATGTTGGATCCTTCAGAGCCCTTAAATGAGGACGATGACTGCTAATTCTTGTCCCGTTGACCGTGATTTTGGACCGCAAGACCTCGAACTGGAAGAAAAAGATTCGCAATATACCCCCACTCCAGGATACTACGGTCGCACAGAAGCGTCAAGCTGCGGGTTTAGCCCTTACCCCGACCATCACTCCGAGTATGATATGGAAGAAGTGTCCCAACACCAGCTCGAAAGATTTAGACTGCCCCAGCTATCTAAATAGGACGATGGTATGCTAACTGACGATCTTCCAGCAAGCTGCATTCAGTATACAATATACACACACAATTTATTGCTAAGCCGAAAGGGCAACTATCTCTGATCTACTATACATGTGATAATATATATATACTGTGTCTCCTCAGAGCCCATACATAAAGCCTTGCAATATATGTCATCTCAGATGTCCGTATCGCAGCGGAGTATACGATAGAGGATGAATCGAAATTAGTTTCACCGCTTACTTACAGAGATTCTTTCTTGAACTTTCTTTCGAAACACATTATAAGTTACCTATTATAGTTACATCACCCAAAATTGCATATATTGGCAGTAATACAATACAGCTGTAAATAACGGGCACAAAAGTAGCTTTTGTATTAGGCCTGTGTGGCCTGCAAACAATATAAACTTACGGGCGTCTGCGCTGTCATTGGAATTCCTTCCTCAGCCTCAAAATCAGCTGACTTCACGGGCGCTAAATGTCACATTGACCACCTCCCCCCACCCCAGTATCTGAATATTGCCTGTAAAAACCTAGTCAGGTCAACTCGGACTCAACAACTTCCGTGTTGCTACAGGTTCTCTCTAACCGCTCCTGAGATTTAATGATACCTAAACCGGAGGACTACACTGTTGGTTGGATTTGCGCGATTACGACTGAATATGTTGCCGCTCGAGAGTTCCTCGATAGACCGCCTCACGAAGGCCTCACAAATTTGCCGGCGAACAACAAAAACGAGTACACCTTAGGTAGTATTTCGGACCATAATGTGGTAATCTCTGTGCTACCAAAGGGCCAATACGGCACGGCTTCGGCGGCTCGCGTAGCAGGAGATATGATGACCAGCTTTCCAAACATTCGCATCGGTCTTATGGTTGGCATCGGTGGCGGCGCACCGACCCAAAAACACGACATTCGTCTCGGGGATATTGTTGTCAGCGTACCTCGTGATGGCCAAGGCGGTGTCTTTCAGTATGACTTCGGCAAGATGATACAAGACCAATGTTTTCGTCCTACAGCGTTTCTCAATCAGCCACCCACTGTCTTATACGCAGCAGTGAGCGGGCTTGAAGCACAATATGAGAGCGAAGGGAATCAACTCAACGAGCGTATTGACAGCATTCTCAAAAGGAACTCAAAACTTCTCAAGAAGTACCAACGCCCAGGTCCCGAAAGTGATCGTCTATACCGAAGTCAAACTGTCCATCCAAAAGACAATGACCTTCCTTGTGCTGCGATTTGCGGCGATGATTCGTCTTGCTTGATTTCGCGAAATGTACGCACCGAAGATGATTCTAATCCTGTTATTCATTATGGTCTGATTGGCTCGGCCAATACATTAATGAAGAACGTATTACTTCGGGACAAATTGGCTACTGAAAAAGAAGTTTTGTGTTTTGAAATGGAAGCGGCTGGGTTGATAAATGATTTTCCATGCATTGTCATCCGAGGTATCTGTGACTATGCCGACACGCATAAGAATGATACTTGGCAAGGGTACGCCGCAATGGTTACAGCAGCTTATGCGAGTGATCTTTTATACAAAATCGCTCCTCAAAAGATCACCCAAGAGCCAAAAATCATCGAGGTTATCGAGCAAGGGCACCGTTATCCACCCGCCAAGGTAGAAAATCACCATTGGTACTTGAATGTTCCTTTGGATAGCGATTTAATCAAAGGAATAAGAACTGGCCAAAAGCGAAACAGAGACTTGGATCATCCAGAGAGTTCGTCCAGCAGTTCAGATGACGACAGAAGGAAAAAGGTTCGGGAAGAGACTCCTTACGAGGACAGCATTTCTGATGAATATGACTTCGAGCACCTCGTCGACATACTTCAGTCCTCAAAAGGCACCGAAAGTCACCCAGACCCTGGATTTAATTTGCATTGCTCCGCAGATGAAGGTTCAAATAGTGAAGATCAATCCGACGAAGTTTCGCAGGAGACTCTGCAGGGATCAGAAGCCCGGTCAATCTATGAATTCGATAGTGAAGGAAGCGACGAGTCTTCAGAGTCTTCAAGTGATTTTTCGCAAGGTCGTGGGCTATAAAGTTGAATCATATACGGTGCTCTTGACTAAGTGAAAGTCCTGTCCTACTAAGTCGAAAATCAATACTAAGAGGGGCAAAGTAATAGAATTTATCTATGTAGTAACGGGCACTAGCTGACAATGCAACCATCTATGATGATCCCTCGACCATTAAATGAATTTGCAAATTGCGATAGGAATTAGTGGGCAGTGGTGGGGAAATGGGGGCGAGGCTTGAGGGGCAATGTAAAATTTTCATGGTAATAGAATTTCTAGTAATTTACAGAGCTCAGTGTCACGTGGTATTTTGTTTCAATACGATTCGACCCTCTGAATCGAGCTAAGCGATTTATAGATTAGTGTGTTTCGAAGAAGGGTTTTAGAAAGTATTCATGTAACTAAAGTGGTGAAACTGATTTCGATCCATCCTGTATAAGAACATCGGGGCATAGGAGGCGATGTAATTTGGGTATAAATATAATTTTTACGAACAGATTTTATCCTATTTGTAATAGATCTACAATAAGCGACTATAGTGTATGAGTCACTGGAAAAAGCAGCCTGGTAGAGTCCGATTCAAATAATTACACTCAAATTCCGATGTTTGCTCATCATTCTCTAATTAACATACATATTCAACATGAAGAGTCATCTTTCTTAAAACGGTTGATCCGATAAGACGACCACTCTTGATCTCAAAATGACAAGGGGTCGCTATATAAACCTCTGATATAGCTTGAGAAAGACCGACGTTATCAATAATCATAGTATCTAAGAGACGTACCCAATATATATATGACCTAGAACGATTCTCCACACTCAGTGTTGGACTACTAGGATAGTAGCCGGAAATTCTGATATATTTAATATGCACCCCGCATACCTAAGCTATATTAATAGCTTTCAAAGAAGTATCTAGGTGCAAAAAGTCCGACGTATTCCAATCCCGAAAGGCACGACTAGCAAACTATAGGGATTGATCTTTAGGATATTCACTGAATGATACCTCGACAGATTTAAGGGCGTAAAATCGAGGAAAGGAAATATATAATATATTGAAATATCTGCTTGATTGTAGGATTTTGTCTTGATCCCGACACAGTTCCTTAAAAGACGAATAAATAGAGGAGTAAGAAATATATTTGCCTCTGGATCTCCAGTCAAATTCTTGTATATCTCTCAGATACTCTTCAGGCGTGTAGATACACGAGCTAAAGTAATCTAAATCGCAAATCACTGTTAATTATTAGCGATATAATAATATACCAAATCGCAAAACATACTTAGATCTAATAGATATAAAGCCCTATAACGAAACTTCTCTATATAGCCAGCTAGATTTGATTGGGATAATTGGTGTAGGCCTTCTAAACCAGCACTCGAAAACGGAATATACACCGAACGAAACAGGTTTGGAGTACTCAATCTTCGGTATCTTTTATTTACACAAGAAAATGACTTCAATAATTCAATCGAAAGATCTGGAATAATCAAAAGAATAATCTCCGGAGGTAGTTATTCAAGTGATATAGTGGAAGATATACAGTCAGTTTGATTAGACGGAGATAGAAAACGTAGTACAGCACTATAGATTGAAACGGTAAGAGATTTAACCAAAATAAGATCATATATTGAAATAGGCTCGTATATCGAAAAAGGCTCGTACATTGAAATAGGCTCGTATATCGAAAAAGGCTCGTATATCGAAAAAGGCTCGTATATCGAAAAAGGCTCGCACATTGAAATAGGCTCGTATATTAAAAAAGGTAGCTCTCCGGAAATCCTATTATCTCTCAATTGAATTTATAGGTCTAAAGGGGACTATATATTAGCTTTTATCTACTATATTTTTAGTTAAAAGCTTCTGTTGCTCTAATTTTCTTATCCCTATATATTTCTGCTACAGAAAAATAATATGAGAGATAGTATACCCTATAACTAAGATATTAACTTATCTTATTAGTGAACTATACTCGGCTCCGTCTCCTGGTATTGTGTTTGCTGCGATAGTAAAGACAATCAATTTATAAGAGTTCGAGCAATAAAGCACCAACCTGTATCTTATTTCACAACACTTTTACTATTTTTCCTTCCCACAAAGCGAAAAATCTGTATTTACACAATATACAAGGAATATATCAAAACACGACAGCTTTTTTTTCCGGACGAACAAATAAGTATTATTTGGAAGGCTAGAGTTAGGTTAAAATTCTCTAACTCAATTCCTTGGAGAAAGTAAAGCTGGAATATTTGGGTACTAAGCACAGAATGCCAAGAGATCAATCAACTTATAATAGATAGCGGGGAAATTTGTCTTACTATCTATATAGATATATTCTTACTATAGGATATTTGTTATCACCTTTTTTTTAAGTTGTTTAAATTGATATTGTAGTAACTTATTATAGTTTAAGTTGAATTATACTGTATATAACCTCCCCACTGCGATATTCGTACTTATATATATACTATTCTTGCAAAAGAAAAAGAAAAAAAGAATAAGAAAACGAAAGACAAAGGTTAAATATAGATCCAGCCCTGTGGCGTTACTAATGTATACAGCGAACCTAAGATAGATTACCGATTAGGAAGTTCTAGGGTGTTCTAAAAATTGAGTTTATATATATTTAGCACGGACCTCGTAGGATCAGTAGGCACCAACCTAATGTATATACGTTATATATTACCGATCTATTTTCGGCACGGTAACTGTTTGGCTTGTCGTTTAAAACACGGTCTAGTTCCTTTCCCTAGTCGGTTTATTTTTGTATTCTACTTATCCCCTACTTTGCGAGCAATAGATAAATATTTCAACCTACGTACCCTCGAGCCAATCTCTGAGGAGATAACACTAACGGATTATAAGATCCTCCGTTATAGTGGTATATCCTCCAATATAGAGAGACTCCCTTCTCGGATTCAACGCTCGAAGCTATTATCACCAAATTACAGACAAAAGATTGAGGATTTGGCTTATAAAGTGAGCTACCTGAAAGCTGAAGTTCAATAGCAAAAGGAAAATAAATAGATCTTTTTATAACTGCATCAACGAATCTTTGAAATTTTTCGAGCTATAGAAGACGCTCTTACACAAACACGTACACGAATAGAAGAGTCAGAGAAACGCTATCTTGATCTCTGGGATATAGAGGAGCCTGGTCCGGCTGGGGGCTTTATATAGATATATATTGTAGTGGGGAACCCAGCTCTTACTCTATATTTACCTTACCCGTCCTTTTATTTGTTTTGAGATTTGTTATAAGTATTGATAGACAGAGGTTACAAGTAGCAGATAGTTATTGATAATTCACACTACTACACTCTCTGAATCCACTTCTTACACTAGCGTCTATTGACCCGTACCCTAGAGAATATACTGCCTTGAGTATTCCCCTCTTCAATTGATTTATCTCACACAAATTATATATACAACTCTATTTGTTAAGAACTAAGAAAAAAAAAAAAACGAATTTTATAAATTAATTAGGCGTTATAAAAAGAAGTTTCATTGCGAATATATTGTGCTATATACCAAGGAAAAAAGAAAAAACAAAAGCCAGCGTCACTAATCTGTCACAATTTCAATATCAGAAGAAGAATCTAATCTCGTAAGTCGCCTCTCGTACTTATTTAACTCTCTTATCGCTTCCGCTAGTGCTTTATTCAAGTGCACTGCTAAAGATTCGCGGGCTTGAAGAGTGGATTGAAGGGAGGCGATAATTGCTCTTTGATTTTCGTTCTCTTTAATAACTGCGAGCTGTCTCTCTTAGGAATCACCCGAAAGTTCGGCACGAGACACCGCTCTCTCAATAAGTGGACCGAAAGTGATAACCCGCGCCTCTAATTCCTGAACCTTTTGTCGTTCTAGAGCTAGCTCGCGCGCGATAACCTCAGAAGCGCTAGCGGCGTTTCTTATTTTTATATTTTGCTGGTATTGCAATATATCGATGGTTTGTTATAGTTGCGCAGAATAATGGTATACTCGCTGGTATAATATATTATCGCACTAGATCTTTGCCTCCAATTGAGATTGATAAGCCCTTGATCTTTGATCTTGAGATATCAACTTCTTAACCAGGGCCTCTATATTGGATTGACAGACTTCGGTAGGCTCAGTTCCCTAATCTGTGTTAGATATTATACTGATAAATAAGCAATATTCGTACCTAGGGGGACCGGACCGGGAGGAACCCTATAGCTCTTGATATTGGGGTTCTAGGGGAGCTTATTTCTCGTTTCTTAGAGGAATATATTGACAGAGGAGGGAGGCGGTATTTATAAGATAGAGTCCTAAAATATTCTGTATAGGCTAGGGCTAAAGGGTTATTGCCTCGTGATAAGCTATAATAGGAACGCTCGAGCGAGCCGATAATAGTACGTTTATACTATTTAGAATGGAAAAGGACGCCTTTTAATTACGAATTCTTATTAATAAAAAAGGATAATAATATATAGGGAATTATATATTAGAACGATATAAGAAAAGAAATATATTCTGTTTTTTACGTATAGTAGCATAAATAAGAAGATAGTTAGGTTTACTCTTTCAGGCTATATATCTACCTACTTATTCTTATTCGAAGTTCTATATCGGCTAGCTAAATCACCAAACTTACTTATTGCAGCCTATTTACGTCTGATAATACATTGGAGGATATCCACTAGCTGTATAACACCCTGTGAAGCTCCTCCTACCCTTTCCTTACACTTATCAACTCGGTTCGCCAGTCTTTCTACCTCGACAATCAAACCTCGGACTGCTGTCTCTAAGCCACTCAGTATAGTAGATAGGTTTTTCACGTTTAAAAAATGCTTATCTAACGTATAAGATATCGAGTTTATCTGTAAGGATTCTGTGTTTCCAAAGAGACTTAGAATTATTAAAGTCATATCAAATATTATTAGGATTAATAAATTTACCTTTCTGATACCGAAGGTATCGTCCTATCTTAGTGTTAGCTCTGTGCTCTGTGCTCGATACGGGAGTATTTCTATATATATTGTCACTAAGTCCAAATTAGTAGTTACCAGATTGACTATCAAAGATACCGGTAAAATCTGAAGGGAAAATATTACCACCTTTATCCTAGGCCTAGGCCAATAGTCCTATAAGATCTGCCTATGTAAATATAGGCGAACTATCACTTGGTTCCTTACTTATATTAGATAGGGCAGTGTTTAACTCGCTGAATACCTTATCTGCTGATATCTCAAATAATACGGAATAGGGGTTAGTGTTTAAGAATTGGGGGGGCTGTTTCGGGGTTTTATATTTCGCCTCCGACCATCACAAAACGCTAGAAATCTGTGCCGTGGTGTGTGCTGGTGGTATAAGAGCCTACTTTAGTATAATCCTAAACGGTTTTATAATCCTAGTCGTTGTTGGTATAACTGGGGTTGCAATTAGCTTTATAGGAACTATTGTCTTACTTCCCCTCCCACTTCCTACTTTCCCTCCCTGAAAGCTGTAAACGTCACCCTAGTAGCTATTTATTCCTTGTAATAAAACTTTAAGTGTATACCGTGCGATACTATAGCTCCGTTTGTTTGTAATCAGAACTAAAACAGGTCGCAGAATAGCCTATAAGGATAAAAAGGCTTAACTAAATCTATAAGAATTCATCCTAGGAATATTTCTCACCCCCTTTAAACAACAAGAATCTTCTAAGAATACAGTAAATAAATAACGTCAGTTGGTTTGATATTGGTATACGAGACGATTCGAGAATAGCCGTTAGTAAATACAGTCGACTTCAGGAAATAGCGAGTGAACTCGCGAATCCTCAGAGTCAATATCCTTTAGTCTGTGCTTTTCTCGGAAGAAAGAATAAGGACTACGCGCTTCAGCAGCTTTTTCCTCGCAATAATATTAAACGATATAACTCCGACGTAAATATAAAGTTGCGCTCGGATCTAGCCTCTTCGAACTCTTAATAGCCAGTCCTCTTTGCTGATAGTGATACCGGACAAAGGAATCACACCCTAACGTCGAAGAGGCTCTAGCCTACGGCCTACCCTGTTTGGTGGGATTATAAGTCGGGAAAAACCCTGTTGCTAGTAATCTAGGCCCGTCTCGTTTTTCTGTTTACGGATATTATATATATTTTTGCCGAAGATTTTTCAGGTCTAGATAAGATCGTAGAATTCTTAGAGTGCTGTGTTAGACTACAATCAGTATCCCCTTTGCCCCACGATATCCGGCCACAAATAATTCTAGTTTTCTAGGAAACTACAGAATAGGTATCGGGGGGAAAGCAGAAAGAAGTCTATCAAAGGCTGCAGTATACAGTATAAGGAAATTTCGATTCTATGTTTTCTGGTGTCTATAAAGTTTGGTTGGCCGGTGGCTGGCTCTCTGAGACGGCTCGATATAAGCGATTGAGAACTTTTATCGCGGCACAATTAGACAGTATAAGAATTATTCGCCAAAGATACAATATCTTACTCAGCGCTGACAATTTGAAGGCTTTATTTTAGGCTGTATTTAACCACACTTTACGGGATATCGAGCGCCTATTTGATCTTATTGGAGCTACCCGAATAGGTCGTGAAGTGAGCCTATACCTAATCACCAATCTTAGGCACTATTTCGAAATTAGGGCTTAGCCAGAGAAACGACTATAAGATTTAGCGCCGTCTGTTACGTCAGCGTTATTTATAGACTATTACACGCCTGAAATGATTGGTATAACTCGCACTAGTCGATAAATTTTTATTAATTAATAGGGAAAACAGGGCTCGATCCTTGTATAGTGTTCTAGGCTCTCTATCGGCCTGCGGTGATCGAAGCGCTAACTTAAAGCAAAGACTCGTGGTCGGAGTTCTACCCTATAGCTTTCACAGCAATAATTGAGTATTATATAGATTTACTCTTTACCCGTTTTTCTAGAGATATAATATCGTCGGTGGATTTACGGAAAGAGCAATTGATATCCTAAAGTGGGCAGCTATCCAGTATCAGGAGTAACAAAATTTGTTTATATTGTCTCTGTTATTCTACCCAGCACGTGTTAGTATACGGCTATACCGTATACGATCGATATATTTAGGTTTTTGGAACACCTACAAAAGGCTTTGAGTACCGCTTCGTTGTAAAAGGATATCTCTACTGCCTTTATCAACGGCCCTTAATTAGCGATATACTACCGCCAATTATAAGCCCCTTAATCCTTGCTATCGACGGCGGGGGTATAAGAGGGGTTATTCCTTTAGAATTTCTTTTTTTGATTTAAGAAAATTTAGGAGATTGCCCTTTATAGGACGTTGTTGATCTTGCTATTGGTATAAGTTCAGGTAAGTACGAAGTATATATTAAAGTGTAAATTATACGCTTATTGTGTCTAGGTGGTCTGATAGTCCTTAGACTATTTCTTATACGCTGGGATATTTCGTATTACGCTAAGATTTTTGACCAATTGGCAATCTAAATCTTCTAACAAAGACGCTAGTCGACTTTTCCTTGGCTCACTAGGCAGTCGATTATAGGTGATATAACGAGATAGATATAGTGGCTGCTTTATAATAGCTGTTATGATTCCTGTGTATTCGATACAGTGCTTAAAGATACTTTTGGTAAGAATCGGTGTGTTTTCGGTGTTTCTTCCGATAATCCTAGTGGGTCTTTGTATACGGGGTCGAAATTTGGAGTCGTGACTATAAGTATCTCTAAAGACACAGATACGTTTATTATAGGTAATTTCAATCAATCTTATATATCATATAATAATTATAGTAAGGGCTCGTTATTATAGAATTTACCGAACAAGATTTATTTGCTGACTCTATACCTACAGAGTACGACCTGCTGCGACCTTAAGACCTTGAATATAAACTAAAAGTGTAGGAAGCGTAAGATATAGTATATCTCTACTAGACTTCCGCACGACCCAGTTTGGGTCGAAGGTCTCGACCCAGAACCCAACCCAGTCTGGGTCTGGGTCGAAACCTCATAACCTAGGCCCAACCCAGACCCAGTGACTGGGGCCCCAGAAAACCCAGTATAGCCCCAGTTCGACCCAGTTTCTGCATAAATTATGGTATAAATATTTAAATAATATACTGTCATTTTCCCCTGTTATGGTTTCTACATCGAAATGCTACACTCTCTACCAACAAGGGAAAGGAAATTTTAAGAAATTACCTCGTTCTTCAAAGCAATATATCTGGTTCAAGATTAATTACTTCTTCAAATACTTTATTTTATATAGAAAGGTGGTATATATTGGCTGCTGGTTTTCTCAAGCGTACGATAGCATTCCATTCAAAATACAAAGTATACCCCAAGTTGTAGATATATATATTCAACATACATCAATATAATATATATTTTTATCTATAGAGTAAAATAATTTTTGAATTCATTTATTTCTCTTCTTCTGTTTAATTTTAGAGCTTATATAACTATAGATAGATATCTAGTAAACCTTTACATTCAAAACTACTTACTACCTCTTAATCTACTTGGTATATACGACTTGAAGGGAGGGTAGGAAGAAATATTTTGAGAAGGATTAATAGAACTGGGGTGGGAATTGGGGTTTAACTAGGGTTTTACTGGGTTTACTGGGTTCTTACCGGGTTAAATGGGTTCTTACTGGGTTCTTACTGGGTTAAATAGGTTATAACTGGGTCTTGACTGGGTTATCTTAGGGGTATTTCTTTAGACCTATATAATTTTAGTATAATAGACCAATCAACAAGAGTAGGATGATTTACTATATTTGATATATCAATATTCCTAGACACTTCTACAACTTTAGTGCATTTCTTCCTTTGTACGTTAAAGAATTTCTCCCCTTACATCCCTTTGTATATATTATATATCATTCTTATATTATGTCTCAAAGCCAACTTTCCGACTTTGCATCGTCGCTCTATAGTGGTGATCTTGACGATCTCTTATATATTTCAACTGGATAAGTCACACTATCCGCAAGTCAACACACAATCGACTCAAACTTCCGAAGACCAGATGATCCCCTCCTAATCCCCCCTTTATTGAAACGCGTTGGACCCGACCGTAGGAAAGGGTTTATTCTATACGATACAATGTTATATAACGATTTTGTGGACTAGTGGTTAGAGACTGACTACGGGAGGAAAAGCAAGCTTAAATAGGATTCGAACCGCTATACAGAGATCTAGAATAGCTACTATCAGGTAGCTCAGGGTATTGATAGCGCACCAAAGGTTATATATAAGCGCTGTGGGAAGATCCTAGAGTATCCTTATACACTAAGCCCGAACAGTACAGGCAAAGCGCAGTATTATAGCACATCAACTATCCAGAAACATCGGAAAACGGCTGGTTGTTTACGGTCGGAAAAGGGGAAGAAAGCAGAGATTACAAACTTCCTACAAAGAGAGGTATATTTTATATCATAAAACTAAGTAACTATACTAATTTATTATTATTCTAGGGAGAGGTTTCAGCAAGTATACCCTTCTTATAAGAAGATTGGGAGGAGGATCTCCTCCAATTTCTTACTCTTAACCGGCTCCTATTCTATCTGATCGAGCATCTATTATTCAAACGCATTATCAATAAAGCTCGTTCCGCCCTATCCCCTCCAGTGATCCTATCTGCCGATACCATCCGTCGCCGATTAGGTAGTCTAGTCAAAGACCGGTAGCAGCGTATCCTTCGTACGCTGCCTTCTGGCTCAAAGATATCCATTGCGCTTGACTGCTGGATATCTCTATTCTCGCAGGTATTTATGGCTATTACTGGCTATTTTATTGACAGTGATTGGGTATATCGTGAGGTACTACTTGGGTTTAAGCCGCTTTATAGTATATATACCGGCTCTTACCTAAGTAGTGTTCTTATAGAAACCCTAGTGGAGTACAATATTGAAGATAAAGTATTCGGGTTAACAACAGATAATGTATCAAACAACAAGACATTAGCTACTGCTCTCTAATAGGCTTTGTCAGATGATACTATTATCACCCGAATACCATGTCTTACCCACGTTATCCAGCTCAGCCTAAATCAGCTTCTTACTCGGATTAAGGTAGTTCTATTCAATGAATCAGCCGAGATAAGGTGGATAGAGAAGTAGTTAAGGCTAGCCCAAGAAAATACGAAGCAAAGTCAGATCTCCTCCACACTGAACAAAGTCCGTTATCTTGCGATTTACGTCAATATAAGTCCCCAGCGCAGAGAGACCTTTTACAATCTTCAGACAACTAATATCAAGATCGTTCCAATCTAAGATATAAAGACACGATGGAATTCTACGTTCCTTATGCTTCGCCGGGCAAAGAGGCTATATACTATCTTCTCTTTATTCTGTACAGAGTATGATTGTGAGGAGATACTACTCAGCGAGCAAGAGTGGCGTCAGATCGACTATCTTCTTTGTATCACCGAGCCCTTCTTTGATTATACAACACAGCTATCAAAGACTCGAGATATCACTGCCCACTATATGTTTAAGATCTACAACAAACTATTCGATTATCTTGAGCGATCACAGGCACAGCTACGCCGAAAGCGTGTCCTATAGAAGAAACAGATACTAGAGGCCCTTGAAGCTGGTCGGTCTAAGCTTAATGAGTATTACTCCTAAGCTGATGATCTTCGAGGGAATATCTATACAATCAGTACAATGCTTGCACCGGTGAACAAATTCAAATTCTTCCTCTCTAGTGATTGGGATCAGAAATAGCGAGATACCTATCGACTTACTTTTGAACAAGCCCTTATTCTATATTAAGCACAAGTTAGAACAAGCAGTCGTGATCTACAAAGCTATCTAACGATAGCCTATCTAAGCTCAAGGCTAGAGGAGATACTTAATAGAAGGGATATACAACCACGAGCCATTACTGATGAAATCAGTCAATATCTTGATAGCGGTAAGTAAATACAAAGAGTATATACAATAATAATACTAATATATATATAGATACTGTTTCTGTTAGGCCGCTTACTTTCTGGAAAGAGCACTAGGCTCGCTTTCCGGCTATTGCTGCCCTTGCGCGAGATACACTCTCATTTCCAGCAACTAGCGCAGGAGTTAAACGCCTCTTTAATACCGCTCGAGATATTTGTCACTATCGTTGTGGTAGAATAAAGAGTGAGACTGTCGAGGTATTAATGATATTTCTTTGTACAACGAAATTTGATATAGAGGAGCAGGAAGCAACACTTCTTGAGAAATTCTTCTCCCAGGATGAGCTTAAGGCGGCAAAAGAGGAGAGGGAAGAGAAGCTTAGTGAGATTGAGGTTGATCCAATTAGTGATACAGAGGAGCAGGAGGATGAACCGGAAGATAAACCAGGGGATGCAATTAAGGTTGTAATTGAGGATAGACCAGAGGATGTACCGGAGGAGAGGCCCTTACCTACAAGTGAACATGGTCGTCCTTGCTCGCTATCATTACCACCAACCTATACACAGACACGAGCATCAGGGAGAAAACGTAAAAGCAGGGAAGATGATTTATTTGAATACCATTAGCTTGCTTGACAAAGAATCCTCAATTATACGCATCTCTTTTACCCTTTTTACAAATAAAATTAGATATAATCAAGTAAAGCAAATACTCAAAATTACCGCGAATAAATGCATAAGTTATACATTTAGAATCCTTAGTATATTTGTTTAGTTTGTAACCCAGTTTGGGGCCCCAGACCCAGTACTGGGTTACCCAGTCCGACCCAGACCCAGTACTGGGTCGAAGGGTTCGACCCAAAACCCAACCCAGACTGGGTTGGGTCTGGGTTGGGTCTGGGTTTTACTGGGTCGTGCGGAAGACTAATCTCTACCAGGCTCCACTCTAGTACTAATATACTTTTTAGGGGAAGAGTAACAGCGGCCGCTCCCTTATAGGTATTCCGGTGGCTTATAATATAATTAGTGGAAAGTGCGAGCTAACGTTATTGGCTAGTTTTTTTACCCCTACAGACCTTAGAATCGGTACCTTTCAGGACGGTGGCCTAAAACACAACTTCGCGGGTGAAATCGCTCAGCAAATTTCCTATCAAATTTGGCTATATTCTAAAGGATCTACGCGAATAATATCACTTAGTACCGGAGCTGCGGAGCCTCAAAGCAATTATTCTACCCTATATTTCCGTTATATCTTTCGTGATAGATTTATACGTCGTGGATTTGATATATAGATATCTTCTATAGATACCGAAAGTGATTGGCGAAGAATAAAGAGCCGTATAAACGAAGTAAACCGACCAGATTACTATCGCTTAAATATAACTCTTAGGGCGCTCCCTAGCTATATTGATACTGTAGAGTCAATAGATAATTATCGAGACCTTATTTTGCTTCAATATAGAAGCGCTCGGATAGCCCGGGAAGCGGCGATCACCTTCCTAATCTCTCGATTTTACTTTGTTCTTAGTGGCGAAGGGGCAGATAACTCTACCGCGCTAAGTTAGTGTCGCGGTACTATACGGTGTA